CGTTCAATCCATTCTCGCACCTCTCCTCTCCTCTTCTCCTCTCTCGCTCCTCGCACTGCCGCTCCTTATTCCTAATACCCCTTTCGACTCTCTCCCGCCCCCGCTCTACTCACCGATCTACTTCCGGCTTCTGCGAGCGGGCACCATGCTTCTGTCGCTTCTCTCCTACTCCTCTCTCAATCACAGTTCTGGTCTCACCCAATCGTTCGCTTCCCTCCACCCTGTTTCCTGTGCTCCATTGCTACTCTATTGCGCGTCCCTGATCGCCTCCCCCTACTTCCACCCCCTACACCTCCTCCCGCCCTTCCTCCTCACTCCTTCCTCCCCTCTACGCTTCCTTCCCCCTTCCCCAAGCCCGTAGCTTCTCCCTTCCCTCCCCTCCCTCCCCTCCCTCCCCTCCGGCTTCCCCCGCTTCTGCCATAGGGTACATTGAGACTGAACGAAGGTTTTCGTCAAGGGGGGGTAGGGGTAGTCTGCGATCACATTTGAGCCCCTACTTAGACTCAAATTATGTGGTAAAAGTGGGGTGGGTACCACCCAAGGACGAGAAGGCGAGGGGGAGTAGAGCATGTCGAAATGCCTTTATATGATGCAGGGGAGAGAGGGAGAGGGAGAGGGAGAGGGAGAGGGAGAGGGAGAGGGAGAGGGAGAGGGAGAGCGAGAGGGAGAGCGAGAGGAGGCTGGAAAGCAAGAGTTTGACGAGCCAAGCAGACGGGAGCTGCGAGGACTGGCCATCAAAGTGACGAAAGCTGTTGTGCAGGAAGGCACGAACAAATCGAGGATGGGTGAGAGGAGACTTGGGGCGACGAGGCATACGCAGGCTGCTGTAATCTTCTTTCCTCGTAATAGACGAGACATGATCCCTCCGCTGCTACCTCTTGAAGTAGCGTTAAGAAAGACCTCCGTTCACACGGTTGTGCTCAACGCCTGGCAGGGCAGGAGTCAGCAAGCGAGCGAGGGAAGGAAGGAAAGAGGGAGAGAGGGAGCGGTGGGACGGGCTGTAGAGGAGGACGGACCTTGCGAACGAACTTGTCGAGGTCCTCCTTGTCGATCAATCCAGTGTTCTTGTAGCAGCAGGCGTCAGTGAGAGTACGAGGAGAAGGGAGAGGTGAGAAGGGGAGGAAGGGGAAGGAAGAAAGGGGAGGGGAGCAGGAAGGAGCTGGAAGGAGGGGAGAGGGGGAGGGGGAGGAGCGAAGGGGAGGAAGGGGGAAGGGCAGGGCTCACATTGTAGTCGAGCTCACGGAAGAGGCCGACAAGGGACTCGGGATTCCAGGAGGGGTAGATGGTGGTGAGGGCGCCCTGAAACTCATCGAGAGATATGTTGCCGTCGTCGTTGAGGTCGATGACCTGCGGGAGGAGCAGAGGAGATGAGAGGAGAAGAGAGGAGAGGGGAGGGGAGGAAGAGGAGATGAGAGGAGACGAGAGGAGGGGAGGAGAGGAGACGAGAGGAGAGAAGATGAGAGGAGCGGAGAGAGGAGAGGAGCTGAGCGGCTTCAAGAACAGGGGAGAGAGAGTAGGTGTGAGGAAAGGGGAGTGGGAAGAAAGAAGGGGAGATCGTGGGGGCAACGCTGGAGGATAGGTAGGAAGCGGGTGGGAGTGGAGGGAAAACAGCAAGGGAGCTGGAGATGAACCTCGAACAATCGATTGGCAGCGTCAGCTATCAGATACCCTCGTCAGTAAACGTAGCAGAGGCAACGGGACAGGGAAGGCGAGGAGGGAGGGGAAGGGGGTAGAGACAGAGTAGAAGCAGGAAGGCAGGGATGAATTGATGAGAAGACAGGCAGGACGACAGGGTGGAAGATTCACAGAGGGTGCGAGGGAGGGAACACCTCGAAGTCGATGAGATAAGGAGGGAAAAAGGGAGGAGAGGAGGGAGAGGGAGGAGAGGAGAGAGGGGAGGGAAGAGAGGAGACGGAGGAGGAGGATGTCAAGGGGCGACGTACCAGCGATGTCGGTATCGAAGGCCTTCTTGTCTAGCGGGGGCATGCCAGGAGCAGGCTGAAAAGATGTGAGGGAGGGAAGGGACAGTGCGGAAGCAGCAGTACCAGAAGCAGAGCAGTGGCGAACTCCTTGAAGTCGATCAGGTCGTTCTTGGCCCTGAAAGAGGGGAAAGGAAGCGGAAAGCCAGGAAACAGCGAGGAGGAGGAGGAGGAGGAGGAGGAGGAGGAGGCAGGGAGGGAGAAAGGGAGGGCAGGGGAGAGGCGGTGTTAGCATTGAGATTGTGAGTCAGCGCAGGAGACCTGTCCATGTACTCGAACAAGATGTCAATCTGAGATGAAAGTCAGAAACTCGAGGAGAGGAGGAGGAAAGCAGATCGAGAAGGAAGAGCAGGAGCAGGAGCAGGAGCAGGAGCAGGAGCAGGAGCAGGAGCAGGAGCAGGAGCAGGAAGGTGGAGGTCGTCACAACAAATCATCACCTGCTCGTCGTCGAGGTTGACTCCCAAGTTAGAGAGAACAAGATGTAGCCCCTTCTTGTCCAGGTTGGCCTCGATGTCATCTAA